ATCAACAAGACAATAAAGAACCTTAAACTGAAAAAGATAAACAATTTTTTGTTAGAGTGGGGGGAGGGGTATCAAATGCATGCCTATATGGGCCAGGATCGAATGAGATGATTCTGTATGAACTTCCTTTTCATTGTAACCATGAACTCCCAAAACCAGCTCAAGACTTGTGAAACTTTTTAGTCGAGACAGTTTCTGGGTAATTCAGATGGATGGATGGGAAAGGCAAATCCATTGTACTTTTTGAAGACTTATTTAGATTAACTGTGCAATTGACTGTTAATGAGATTAATATAACCCACAACAAATCATAGCAAATTATAGATTGAAATCAACTGCTGCCAAACATGAATTCAGTTACAGAAGACAAGATACATTTCTTTCTTACAATAACCCTGTACTCCCATCTAAAAATATTCAAAACAAATATAATTTTCTGTTTCGATTTCTGTAGGTTACCAATATGAGTAAGCAAACTATGTTCTTAATCACAACTATACCTAAAAAAGAAGAAGCTCTAATTCAACAAGAGTACAGTTTTAAAAGTGAGAAGTGATGTATTTATTTTTTACTATATTTCTGAAGAGGACTCAAGGTGGCTTATTGTTGGAGTTCAGTCTGTGTTTGTGTTTCAGGATCAAGGTGCTTTTGATGTGGGGAATGATGTCACTGAGGGTCAAGATGGAGATGGTTTGGTCAATGATATTAATGCAGAGAATGACACAGGGACACTGGTTCAAAGTGTAGTTTCCCATGAGAATGTTTCTACAGGGTATAGGGATGATAGTTTACTCTCTGACCCAGAGAGTTCCCAAGATTTGGGATTTGAAAACAACTTGATATCTGGAGAAAATAATGAGCAGATAGATAATGAACACATAGATGGCTGGAATTTAGCAAAAACAGACAGCTCAGCTAAGGCCTTCACCATTCTGCTAGGCTTAGAGAGATAAGGGCAAGAGGCAGTCAAGAAAAGCGAAACCAGTTCTCACCAGGGAAAAATATAGTCAGATGAAACATCGTTTCAGAATCCAGTTAAGCCCTTGTTCTTGTTCCATGGAAACCTTGCTTGGAAGATTCATGTTAAAGATTTCTTGTTCATTGTTTGACTCTTTGTCTATACTCATGTTGTGGATTAATGTTTTCCTGGTTCTTTGGATTTTATTACAAAAGTCTGGACTGTGCTTTTAAACTTTGCTGAACCCTGCCTTGGATTAGTTTGTTCCTGCTTATCTTCCTACATTATTGGACTTATCTATTTTCTTAAAGCATATCTTTACCCTGTTGTTTTTACTTATCTTCAATAAAAAAGGATTGTTTTCCTACTCAACGTATGGTGTTTTAAAGTTAGAGGGTTATTCCTGTTCTGGATTGCAACACTTACAACATAGGCAATAATTCAATGCCTTAAAACCAATATACAATTAATTTTTTAAAACAAGGTTAGAAAACATTAAAACATTTTGTTGTTGTTGTTCATACGTTCAGTCGTCTCCGACTCTTCGTGACCTCATGGACCAGCCCACGCCAGAGCTCCTTGTCGGCCGTTACCACCCCCAGCTCCCTCAAGGTCAGTCCAGTCACTTCAAGGATGCCATCCATCCATCTTGCCCTTGGTCAGCACCTCTTCCTTCCTTCCACTTTCCCCAGCATAATTGTCTTCTCTAGGCTTTCCTTCTCCTCATGATGTGGCCAAAGTACTTCAACTTTGTCTCTAGATCCTTCCCTCCAATGAGCAGTCGGGCTTTATTTCCTGGAGGATGGACTGGTTGGATCTTCTCGCAGTCCAAGGCACTCTCAGAACTTTCCTCCAACACCACAGCTCAAAAGCATCGATCTTCCTTCGCGCAGCCTTCCCTAAGGTCCAGCTCTCACATCCGTAGGTTACTACAGGGAATACCATGGCTTTGACTAGGCGGATCTTTGTTGCCAGTCTGATGTCTCTACTCTTTACTATTTTATCGAGATTGGACATTGCTCTCCTCCCAAGAAGTAAGCGTCTTCTGATTTCCTGGCCACAGTCTGCAGCTGCAGTAATCTTTGCACCTAGAAATACAAAGTCTGTCACGGCCTCCACGGTTTCTCCCTCTATTTTCCAGTTGTCAATCATTCTTGTTGCCATAATCTTGGTTTTTTTGACCTTTAGCTGCAACCCGGCTTTTGCGCTTTCTTCTTTCACCTTGATTAGAAGGCTCCTCAGATCCTCCTCGCTTTCGGCCATCAGAGTGGTGTCATCTGCATATCTGAGGTTGTTAATGTTTCTTCCAGCAATTTTCACCCCAGCTTTGCATTCATCCAGCCCCGCACATCGCATGATGTGTTCTACATACACGTTAAAAAGGTTGGGTGAGAGTATGCAGCCTTGCCGTACGCCTTTCCCAATCTTGAACCAGTCTGTTGTTCCGTGGTCAGTTCTGACTGTTGCTACTTGGTCCTTGTACAGATTCCTCAGGAGAGAGACAAGGTGGCTTGGGATGCCCATCCCACTAAGCACTTGCCACAATTTATTATGATCCACACAGTCAAAGGCTTTAGAATAGTCAATGAAGCAGAAGTAGATGTTTTTCTGAAACTCCCTGCCTTTCTCCATTATCCAGCGGATATTGGCAATCTGGTCTCTCGTTCCTCTGCCTTTTCTAAACCCAGACTGAACATCTGGCAACTCTCGCTCCATGTATTGCTGGAGTCTTCCTTGCAGGATCTTGAGCATTACCTTACTGGCATGAGAAATAAGGGCCACTGTACGGAAGTTGGAGCAGTCTTTCGCATTTCCCTTTTCTGATGGCCATTCTTGTGTTTCGCATATTTGCTGGCAAATGGCATGCATCACCTTGACAGCATCATCTTTTAAGATTTTAAACAGTTCAGCTGGGATCCCGTCGTCTCCTGCTGCCTTGTTGTTAGCAATGCTTCTTAAGGCCCATTCAACCTCACTCCTCAGGATGTGGTTCTAATTCATTCACCACACCGTCAAAACTATCCTCGATATTATTATCCTTCCTATACAGATCTTCTGTATAGTCTCGCCACCTTCTCTTGATCTCTTCAGCTTCTGTTAGGTCCCTGCCATCTTTGTTTCTTATCATACCAATTTTTGCCTGAAATTTACCTCCAATGTTTCTAATTTTCTGGAAGAGGTCTCTTGTCCTTCCTATTCTGGTGTCTTCTTCAACTTCCATGCATTGCTTATTTAAAAATAGTTCCTTATCTCTTCTGGCTAACCTCTGGAATTGCGCATTTAACTGGGCATATCTCCCCTTATCCCTGTTTCCTTTTGCTTTCCTCCTTTCTGGGCTACTTCCAGTGTCTCAGCAGACAACCATTTTGCCTTCTTGGTTTTCTTTTTCTTTGGGACGTACTTTGTTGCTGCCTCCTGAACAATGTCTCGGACTTCTGTCCATAGTTCTTCTGGGACTCTGTTTACTAAATCTAGTCCTTCAAATCTGTTCTTCACTTCCACTGTATATTCGCTAGGAATGTTAGTGAGATCATATCTAACTGGTCTGTGTATTTTCCCTGATCTCTTTAGTATTATTCTAAATTGGGCAATAAGAAGTTCGTGATCTGAGCTACAGTCAGCCCCAGGTCTTGTTTTCACCGACTGGATGGATGTCCGCCACCTTTGGCTGCAAAGGATGTAGTCAATCTGATTTCGGTGTTGACCATCTGGTGAGGTCCATGTATAAAGCCGTCTTTTAGGTTGTTGGAAGAGAGTATTCGTTATACACAGAGAGTTTTCCTGGCAAAATTCTATCAGCCTGCGTCCCGCTTCATTTTGTTCTCCCAGACCATGCTTGCCTGTGATCCCTGTTGTCATTTGACTTCCCACCTTGGCATTCCAGTCTCCTGTAATGAAAATAATGTCTCTTTTTGGTGTATTATCCAGTAGGTCCTGCAGATCCTCATAGAACTGATCTACTTCTGCTTCTTCAGCAGCTGTGGTTGGGGCGTATATTTGGATCACTGTAATGTTGAAAGGCTTTCCTTGCACTCGAATTGAGATCATTCTGTCATTTTTGGGGTTGTATCCAAGCACCGCTTTAGCGAATTTCTTATTAATTATGAAGGCTACTCCATTTCTTCGATGTTCCTCTTGTCCGCAGTAGTAGATCTGGTGGTCATCTGATGTGAAGTGGCCCATTCCAGTCCACTTCAGTTCGCTGACCCCCAGAATGTCTATCTTTAGACATTACATTATCTTTAGACATTACATATCTTTAGACATTACATTAATTGTAATGTTTTAAATTAAAACATTTAAAACATTACAATTACTATTATCAACCACGCTATCCGCAATCATAGTCCAGGCCATTTCGGTAGTCATTGCACATAATTCCAAATCCATCTATTGTGCTGTATTATTCTCCAAAGGCTTGATCCCAAAGCCATGTTTTTCACTCTCTTTCTGAAGGTCAGGAGGGGAGAGGCTGATCTAATATCACTGGGGAGGGAATTACTTGTTACCTATTCCCTCCTTACATATATGAACCATACTGCTCACAGATTTTTCAGCACCAAGGATTGAATTTATGTTGACCAACCCATTAGAGATGTGAAAAATGCCAACAACCCTACACACAAAGAAATATGTTCCTACAAGGATCCTAAGCTGTGGCAGTGGTAAACTGGGATTTGGCTGCTGCTAAAATGATCCTAAAATGAATCCTGAGCTTCTAGCATGGTCATGCCAAAGCATTCAAGGATGGACAAACTGGCTTTGTTAATCACGTCATAAGTATGGATTTCCCAAAACATTTAATACTTATGACCAATGTCTGACTTTTTGCACAGCCCTACAACCTATACTTAAATTTTAATGAAAATCTGTTTGGACTACTGTTTGTCATTTGCATATCCACTTATAGCAGTAGCACCACAGTTGCTTGCTCATTATGTAATGTTGAAAAATCCTAATTTATATATTACTTGAGGGGGACATGCATATGTTCAAGTAGGGCAGTCTGCCATCATTTTGATAACAGGATTTCCCATCTTACCTCTCCATTTTCCAGTGGATGAATCCTAGAGTAATAAGAAGTGCATATAACTTCATCATCTTTTGCATACGATGGCGGTCCGGTGCGGGGAGGAATGTTGTAGCGAGTCAGACATTCGGTGTCTGTGATAGCATGGTACTGCCAGGGCTGGTAGTCAACACCATTTAGTGAACGCTCCAAAATCCAGTTGCCAGGCCGTGGTGCATTAGCTGATTTTACAATAACATAAGCAATCTGGAAGACCTGGAAAAATGTAAAGAAAGCATTACAAGAACTTGTCAAATGTATCTGGTTTTTAAAAGCTCTTTTGATGATATATTATGCTGAATAACTCTTGACACAAAATGCTGTTTTTAGCTAAATTTACAGAGATTGATCAGGTCATACCATTTTCATGTCATAAGAGATGAAATCGGAAATTCTTTGTTGAAAATCTTACTGTGTACACTGGTAACTGAATTGTTTCTCTATTATAACTAGCTCTACAACAAATGCCTAGTATAAAATGAAGCATCTGTGATTGGCCCACCTCCATATTACAGTTATGGACCCATATTGCAGTTATGGATCCATAGCCTTGGAGTTATGGATCCATAACTGCTCCGTACTTATTAACACTATGAATTCATGATCATGAACAAGTATAAATACCCACCCAAACCTGCTCTACTAGGCATTTGGCACACCAAGAATAGGAATTCTATTCAGCTGGTGATCTGAACTCAGGACAATGACATTTCCAGCAAAGCCATGACATCAGAAGCAGGCTCGGAAATACTGTAACCTCTACCAAGCCTGTAAAATACCCTTCTGTTCTTAATGAGTCACAAAAATTGTTGCCACTCTGCACCTTCATAGAATAGATTCATATATTGTCTTTACAGTTGGCTAAGAAAATACTGACCCTGAACATTCTGCCAGTGATGTTTATTTGCATCTAATTACTGCTCTTTTCATATAAGTGGATTAGGAACATTTAATCACCACTTATTATAGTTTGTGCTTTCACCTGTCTTTCCAGATAATTTAGAAAAGATTTATTTTCTGGTAAAATAGTTGCTAGGATTGTGACACAACAAAACACAACTGAACATATTAATAATTAATCCTTGCTTATACATCAGATTTTATTACAACCTGGATAAATATAAGGCAGATGGAGAAAAATACACACATCAATAAGAAGAACAAAAATATCTGGTTTCACAGATAGTAAGCATATACAGAATTTTTCTCTCAAGAATACATATAAAAATACAATAGGTAAAATATGTGGGCAACTGGAAGAAATGGGCCCAAGTATTGCCCTCAAATTGCACATTACCTATCACCAACCCAAATATTAGCGTAGATTAAAAGCTTCCCAACTTGAGTCCTTCTCTCACAATCATTCAATATTTCTTGTTCTGCAGCATAAAAGTACCTTTGCTTTCAATACAGTTAAGGATTTCCTCAGGTTCCCTGGAGGAGAAAGGGTATATATACTTCACAACTTTCAGTTTAGTACACCCAGGGATGATAGAAAACAAAAACAATCTAGAATTTGGATTATTTTCTAAAGAAATGTAAGGTGGATAAAGGAAGTTCTGGAGTCTGAAATATCATGAATGACAAAGAATTTTTAAAAATAAAATGAGAAACTAGAAGATAATTTTCCATATTATTAACAGGGGAAAGTTTGTATTTTCAAAGAAATGCTACTCATTCACACCATCTGAAGTTCTGGAATATCATAGTTACAGAGTGGAACAGATGCAATCATTAAAGTTGATTCCTTTTTGTGGTGTTTTGGCAGCTATTTCAGTGTTAGTGCTAAAATGAATAAAGGGGAGAAATGGAGATTTCACACTAATAATTTGCTACTCTGACTAAGTACTTTGGGGGTTTCCCAACAGAAACATCTGAGAATGCTTTAAAGGGGCATTTGGTGGCAGCTAACATTTTTATTTTGCAATCTCTTAATGCTGTGTTGAAGAACAGTTACTCTCCAAATAATCAATGAAACTGAGCACTGTGCAAAAACTGTGACATCACAGAACATTTCCTCTTATTGACCATCTCTGTTACTTAACCATGACTTGTAGACCTCTAGCATGCCCCTCCACTCACTGTCCAATCATTCAAGAATGTGTTTAGCACTTAAAACACAAGTGGAATTAATGACAAGTGTGAATATGCCAGCTGAACACACTTATTGCTGCAGGTGTGATTCAGAGGCTGCATAACACACTGAGCCCAGTTGTCAATTGTATTCCTTTGGGTTCCTTAAAAAACAATTAAGAAACCTTTTAGTCAAGTTGGATTTCCCTACTGAAGTGTGGAGTAGTGTTGTATGCAAAGTCGAAGTATATAATACAATCATCAGGGAAATGATAAAAAACTTCCTTCTCTTCAGAATACTGCATATGAATCAATACAATTTCCATTAGCATGATGTTTTCATTGTAATCTGACTCTTCAAACCTATATAATATAAAGACACAGCAAAGAATTTATGCTGTCTGCCTTGAGTGACAAATGGTCTCGTTGATCACAGAGGCTTGGTTATAAATGTTATATACCTTGTGAGATGCACAATGGCAAAAACAGACTCTGGCACAAAAACAGAGATGTTGCTAAGTGTTACAGCTCTCATTAGATTGTCCTTCCTAGCATAATAAACCCTCTACTCTGTTCATTTTCCCAATAGATGACAGACAAAACCGTAGGCAGTAGTTACATTCATAGTGAATGAGACAAATGGGTATCATTTATCGCAAACAATGTAATGCCACTTAACTACAGCTAGAGTATATTTTTGTTCAAAATTTGTTTGAAATAAATTGTTCTGTTTGAAGTGTACTTAGTAATTTAAAGTTCTTCTTTGGAAACAACCCTATTTTACAATAACATATTTCTGCTTTATTATTTCAGGGAGTCTTTTTCAGCATTTAAGAGTCAATTTCATAAGAAACTGGACAAGGAAGAAATTACTTAGTTGGTCTAGAAATAACCAATAGTATTTAAACTATTTCACTCATATATATTATTGGTTCCTGTATTAGAAACACATGGTTTTTTTTAGAAAGAGGCATGAATGAGGCAGACAATTGGTCTCTCCTTTTCGTAAAAAAAATATCTAAATCACAACTTTCAATTTATGCAGTTCTGTTCAATGAATGTTTCTCTATTATGTCATTCATTCCTAGATGTTTTTCTTACCTTGAAGATTATGGTCAAATGAAGCATCCAAGTTTGGAATAGTGAGAGCAGGATTTTGAGCCTAGTTAATTTTCCTACCACCCTATGAGATTCTTACTTGTTGCTTGTTGTGTGACTTTGTTTCTGAAGTATGGCGACCCTAAAGTGAAACTATCGCAGGGTTTTCTTGGCAAGATTTGTTCATAAGGCGTTTCCCAATGCTTTTCTCTGACATAGTGTGACTTCTCAAGGTCACCCAAGTGGGTTTCATTGTCATGCAGTGTCTCCAGAGTCACAGTCCAATGCTCAAACCACTATACCACATTGGCTATTAAGTAAGAAAGCTCTCTCCACACAAAAAAAATCTTGGCAATTTTAGCAAACTTTCATCTCATCCAGCACCTTACTTCTTCTGTGGTCAGTCACATACTTTTGAATATAAATAACTATGACATGAAGAAACAGACCTCTCCAGCTCTCATTCCCTAGCACAGGTACTCAGGTGCCTACTGCCTCTGAATGCAGAGATTTCATATAGCCATCATGTTTAGTAGCCGGTGACAGAATTATCTCCCATGGATTTGTCTAATCCTTTTATCTGCTGTGCAAAGAAGACATTTTTCACATGCTTAGGGCTACAATCTGCAGTACTATTAGGATTTTTCTCCCTCTGGCTTATCTAGAGCTTTCAAAAGAGGAGTTTAACTTTGTGACTTCTCTCACTGACAACATCTTGGGAAGTCTTCTGTCACTACAAGGGGCTTCCTTTAGGCTCTTCTTGCTACTACATTGTGGTAGTCAGCCAAGAGACACATGACAGTAACCCTCCAATTAGTTGGATTAACGGCAGGCTTGGTTCACATAGATATGCTCTGGATTCATGCATCTTCAACTCAAAAGAGCATGGCAAATATGGGAACCTAACTTCACAAATCACTGCATTTCAATGCAAGGTAATCCTAGTGAAATCAGTGATGAGCAGATGGTAGGAAAAAAACTTTGAAAGCCTTAGGTTAACATTATTATTATTATTATTATTATTATTATTATTATTAAAAACAACAACTCTGAAACACAGGCTGTATCAACATTTTGGAATTATAGCAGTTTGACACATTAACTACCTTGGCACAATGCTTTTGGTTTCTGGAATTGGTAGTTTTCTGGGATATCTATCTTTCCTATCAGATCCCAGGATTCTATAGGATGGAAATATGACTTAAAGTGATGTCAAACTGCTATAATTCTGCAGTGTAGATAGCCTCACATTCATGCAGAAATACAATGAACAAAAATATTTTCGGTTATGCATCTGGCTACATCTATTATAGGTATTTTACTGTTGATGAGAGCATCATAACTGTTATAAGAGTGCTTGGCATATAAGTTCCCAATACAGACTGCCATTGGTCAGAATTATGACTTCTAAAATTACAGGGCTAAGTATAACATAATATGTATATATTGAACATTGTAGGTCTGGATGCAGAATCTAGAATTGAAATAAAAAGTGTCCAAATATTACTTTTTAAAAGACATTAGATTCTATTTAGAATTCTAACTAGTTGCAACTAGAAAAGTAATACTATTTAAATGGTTCTCAGAAGTAAGTAAAGTAGATATGTTGTTATCTTATTTTTTATTCATTTTTAAAAGCTGAATGGTACTAGCCTTTGATACCTACCAGCTACTGTCCTGTTACAAAAGATACTCCCTTCCCTCACTTCATGACAGAATACTATGCAACATAGCATGAACCAACCCTTGATATTCTTCAAGCAATGTTGTAACTGTAAAAATAGCTGAATTGTTTAGTTACATCTTAAAAGCACCTCTAGATTGGACTACTGTAATGTACTCTATGTGGGGCTGCCCTTGAAAACGGCTTGGAAATTCCAGCTGGTCCAACGGGCAGCGGCCAGGATGTTAACTGGTGCTCCTTACAGAGAGAGGTCAACCCTTCTGTTCAAGGAGCTCCACTGGCTGCCGTTTATTTTCCGAGCCCAATTTAAGGTGCAGGTGCTTACCTACAAAGCCCTAAACGGTTTGGTACCATCCTACCT